TCAGTACAGTGCCTGCTAGAGTTTTCATAAATGTTTAATGAGTGAGTGAATGAATACAGTCTTAACTACTGATACTACTAGTTATTCTTATTAGCAAGATACAATGGTTTTATTTAAGTGAACAAATTATTGGAGAAATAATGATTTACTTAGAATGAATAAGATACTACTACTACTAATACATTTCTGACTTACTATTTTCCTATCCAACCTGCCTTATTCTGTAATATTGTCATAAAATGGGAGCTGGGCAATAAATCACATTTAAGTAATTATAAAGGAAAATTCCATATATGCCAGTAAAAATATGGAATTGCTAAGAATTGTACTAGAATATTTGCTACTTATTTTAGCATTTTATGTTGATACCTTGATATGAGAATGAGATTACCATGGCTTAATCCTCTAAAATTTTTTTTTTAAAGATTTATTTATTTATACAAGCATTAGGTACAGTCAGAAGCATGGGAGGGTGAGAGAATTCACCAGAGCCAGAGTGGGAAGCAGAGCAGGCAGAAGGACCGAGGTATACTGCTGAGGGGAGCAGCGGGCAGCAGGAGAGGTCTGCACGTCATGTGGGACCCTCCTCCGGTGGCAGGGGAGCAGCCAGGGATTGAACCGGCGCTGCAGAGGCTGCGGGCAGCTTCACAACCCAGCGCTCAACCGCTGCGCCACTGGGGAGGCCCTAATCCTCTAAAATTTAGTTTAGCAATGAGTTGTGTGTACAATTACTTATAATAACTACAATAATTGCTTGATTAAAGTACAAGATATGTTGCCTTTTATTTCCTTTTTCATTTTATGTTGAATTTATTATCTGTCTTCCCCACAATAAACATTGGTCTTGGTGACACTTTATTCTTGATATTTACCAAGATTAACGGAATTCAATTATGCATTCTTGAATCCACACAAATAATATGCAAAGATAGGTTTTGAAGAAATGACTATAGCATGTAATCATTTGTTGAGTAACTACGAATATCAGGCATTATTGCGCATGTTGTCTCTATGTATTCTTGAATTCATACAAACAACATGTGTTCAAACATATATTTAGAAAGAAAGATAATGATAATACATCATTTATTGAGTTGTTACCTGATGTCACATATTCTCTCTCTGGAGTGCAGACTTTTCACCTCTTTTAGATAATCATAACATGTAAAAAAAAAAAGTTATAGAAATCCAGTATCTGGTTTGGTGACAGTAACTGTATCATAATATTAAAGCAAATCTTTTGAGAACAAAATCCTGAAAGAGTTAATAACTTAAACCAGCCAAATGAAAAGCACACAAAAGCAGATGAAAACTAAGGTGATTGGCTGAGAATGGATTGAAGAATTCACTCCATTTGCTGTAAAGAAACTTAGAGGGGCCTACCCTGGTGGCGCAGCGGTTGAGCGCTGGGCTGCGAAACTGCCGGCAGCCTCTGCAGTGCGGGTTTGCTCTCCGGCCACACCAGCAAGGGTCCCACTTGGCAGGCAGACCTCTACTGCCATGCCTGCTGCTCCCCTCAGCAGTATTTTGTCGGTCTGCCTGTTCTGTTCTCCACTCTGGCTCTGGTGAATTCTCTCAACCTCCCGCATTTCTGACTGTACCCAGTAATTGAATAAATAAATAAATAAATCTTTAAAAAAAAAAAAAAAGAAACTTAGAGGCTGATCCCAACTACAAGACTGTGTAACTATATAAACTTGCAAAAGTCTTATACTTAATATGTGTCATGAGAACATCTGGTATAAGTTAAAGGTAGACAATAATAGTACCTTCTTAAAAACCTTTTAAAGGAATAAATGACATAAAACATTAAATGAGATGACAAATGAGAAAATACAGTGCCTGATACTTAATGGAAGTATTAAGTTCTAGTTATTTTCATCTCTGTTATATGAAAGTTAATAGTTAAAGTAATTAAAAGTAATCAACTCTCTTATTGATGTACAGGGTCTTTAATTCATAACAGAAAACTTCAGGCAGGAATGTGTGAGGAAAGAGTTTAAAAAGGAGAAAAGAACACAAGATATAGGATGTAAGCAGAATGATTCTGAAAACAGAATAATGTTAGAAAAACAATAGGGGAAGAAAGCTTTTAGAAGAAATGAGTTATCAATGGAGTTGGTTGTCACAGAGTTGTAAAAGAGAGTTAAGGATCAAATTTTGAGATTGGAGGCCAGTGTGGAATCTAATAGGATAAATTCTAAGAGAATAGGAATCAGGTAGAGAACAGTTCTTGGTGTGTCCTAAAAGGAATGAGAGGTGAAAACTAAGAGCAAATTCTGAGAGTTTGGCAGAGGAAGGGGTTATGTATTTTTCTTTGTTTATAAAAAATATTAATAAGAGATGAAGAGTCCCATGTAGAAGCAGAGGTTGATAGTGTAGGTCAATGTATGTAGCAAGAGATTGGCTGAAATATGACTTTTTGCCCTGTATATTTTCCATGCATGCCCTAGACCATCTCCCCACAAATTTAAACCAGTCCAGAGACTTATTGTTTCCCTACCGATAGACATTTGCAGGCCGAAAATTAAAAGCTGCTTAAAGTTCCTCCCATGACCTATACATACCTGAGCAGTTAAAACTTATTCAGTGCTCCTAATGGATGAGAGAGAGAGACAGAGAGAGGAGAGAGGAAGAGAGAGAAACAAGAGAGAGCATTTAATACTACTTATTTTGGAAAGAAGTTGGAAGGCTGGAATCCTGACATGAAAGAGTACTGCTGTGTGGTGTTCAGTGTCAGCAGTACCCTGAACAGGTGAAAACCTCAGAAAGGATGGCTGTATGGTCCACATAAGAAAACAGGACCTTGATCACAGAAACCTATGGTTAAGTTCTGCTGTCCGCAGGAAGGGAAGCAAGCCCTGAATTGAAGGAACCATGCTGACTGTGGTAGTGGCGTCATGGTGGGAGCCATTGAAATCTATGCATCCTGGGTATTTAATACTTTGGTGTGAGAAGCTGGTTTGAAGCACATCTTTTTTTTTTTAAGATTTATTTATTTATTTAAAGATTTATTTATTTATTTATTTATACAAGTACTGGGTACAGTCAGAAGCACAGGAAGGTGAGAGGATTCACCAGAGCCAGAGCAGGGAACAGAACAGGCAGACCAACGAAATACACTGCTGAGGGGAGCAGAGGGCGGCAGGAGAGGTCTGCGCGCCATGTGGGACCCTCACCCAGTGGCCGGGGATTGAACCGACATTGCAGAGGTTGCGGGCAGCTTCATAGCCCAGAGCGCTCAAACGCTGCGCCACCAGGGGAGGCCCTAAAGATTTATTTATTTATGCATATAAGAACTGGGGTACAGGCCGGAGGTTTGGGGGGATAAGAGGATTCACCAGAGACAGAGTGGGGAACAGAACAGGGAGATTGACTGAAATACACTGCTGAGGGGAGCAGCGGGCGAGTCAGGCTCTGCACCATATGTGTAGCTCCTTGGCCAGCTGGCCAGGAACCGAATTCATGTTGCAGTAGCTGTGGATAGCCTTATAGGTTGTGTCTTAAGCCCTTGTCCCACCAGGAGGCCCTGAAGCACATCTTAATGGGAGAGCTCCATAGGAATAATTTTTGATTTTAAATTACCAATGCAGTGACAGATTTCGATTTAGATGGATTTGTTAAAATTTAAGAAGTTGAATATTTCTTGCATACTACATACCGCCTGCAACTTCATTCCTGTTTAACATAGACACAATGTTTTAGGACTAAGAAAGCCTATGGGTCATAATTTACACAGGCAGGTACAGGGGATACATTTTGGAGGGCACTTGTTTATAAGCCTGACTTGTTTGTGCTGAAAATCTAGTCAGATGAGATGAGATCTTTTCCACTGAGGTAAACCAAGGCTTCACAGAAATTGTGCCATTTTTGAAATAAACTAATGAATAGTCTTAGTTCCCAATAAAAAAAAATATTATCTAGGTCCCTCTATTTGGTGGAAGGCCTAGTCATTATACTGGGCTTCATGTACTCATAATGTTAGGGGGAAAGGATGTCCTGAGTTAATTCTATACAGGCTTTGTGGACTCCACCCCCACTCTAGACCAAAACCATCCAGACACTGGGAAAGACAAATCCCATCACCACCGAAGGGAAGGTTGCTGGGACCTGAGGGTTGAGTTAAGCAGCCAGGTTTCGTATAAAAACCAGACACGTGGGCCTTGGGATCTCTCTTGCTCAGGCCTCTTGGTTCACAGGTCCTGGCTGGAGGCCAGCTCTCAGGGTGCCATTTGGGATTCCAGACCGCAGGAACGAGTAGGATGCATTTAAAACTTTATCTCCCTCTTTTTCTCCCTGAGTTGTCCATTTCCTCACTTCCTCTTCCCTTGTGAATAAATCTTTTATTAACCTTTTGTGTGTGCCTGCAGTGGAGTATTAAGTCCTTTTTAAGTGTGCGCTTGAGGACCCACAGTCAGGCAACCAGTTCTAAATCGAGGCTACCCTGTAACAATAATACCTGTCTATGGCTAAAGGATGTTTCCAGTCAGTGATTTTATTATTATTGTTATTTTTTAAAATTCTAATACATTTATTTCTGTGATTCCTAATAAAACACTTTCAAACATTCTGTACATTTGAAGTAACTCAAAACTGCATTACAGTCTATAAATATCATTGTTGCCACGAGGTGCCAAGATGGTTCTGTACAAAGATGTACAATATGCACATGACATATTAAGTGAAGCTGGGCAAAGCAGTCTAGAACATTAGTTCATGCCAACGCTTAGGAAACATTTCAAACACATAAGACTAAAGCTTGAAACTGCCTGGTGTTTTTTTGTCACATAGTTTGACTGGTCTGCTCAGTCAGCACGATGCCGCTCAATGGATACATCATAGGGCTGCTCTCCTAACCTCTTCAGGGAGCCATTTTGCCAAAAGGCTGGGGACCCCTCTGGGAGTTTGTTCCTGAAACAGGCGCTTGTCTTGCGTAATCTGCCTGGCGCTTGTCTTGCGTAATCCGCCTGGCGCGGGCCGCCACTTCCGGGCATGTCTTGATGACGTCAGCAAGGGATGGCCTGAAAAGCGGCCTACGAGCCTGCCCTGGCTCCAGCTGTTAGGAGATGTAAACCCCCCACCCGTCCGTTTTCATCAGGCAGCAGTGGTTTGCCATGAGCATAAGCAGGAAAATAGATGACAGAGAAGGTAAGGTCTCGGAGGAAACATGCTTTGGCGCCCTCATACAGACCAAAACGGCCCAGGTCCCGAAGCACTAACCCTGGGCCCTGTGGTAATTACTCCAGCCCCCTGAAGGCGAATCTCCGGTGGCTTAGAAAAGATGACCTGAGAGCCTCCAGCACCACTTCAAGCAAGGACTTAGGCAAAAAAAAAAAAAAAAAGTGGAATGGAGTCATATCTTTTGGTAAATTTGTCCCGGCCAAAGTCATTAACAGCTTAATGGCCTTTTCCTGAGCAACGGCTCTCAGGTGTGGTGTCACACCCGGGTGGAGTCCACGGTAGCCCTCATAATTCACGATTTCATTAAAACAGTCAAAACTGTTTTAGTACATCGGCTCCCCACAACAGAGCTGGTATCACGCTGGTTTTGCACACAAGTCTTCACCAGATGTATGGGATATACTTCAGTGGCTCCCTCAGCTCCAGCAACCAACCCAGGGTGAACCTGTAAGATGACTCAGCAATCTGGAGCCAGACAGGCCTGCCTAAACCGTGAGATTTCTGGCTCTGCAGGAATCTGTCTTCTGCCAAATTGTAAGGTAAGACCTCCTCAGCCAACGGGGCTGTTTTCTAAATATCTGCCAGTTAAATGCCACTATAGCATATTTAAATCTGCAAGCTAGTATAGGGTATCAATTTCTAGTGGGATGACTTGTTCAAAGCATATGACACTCAGGGCAAATTCCTCCTTTGTCACTTCAGCATCGTTTCTTGTGCCAGTTAGAGTGCTGTATATCTTTTTTTTTTTTTTTTTTTTTTTAAGATTTATTTATACAAGAACCGGGGTACAGGACAGATGTGCGGGAGGGTGAGAGGATTCACTGGAGACAGTGTGGGGAACAGAACAGGCAGAATGAGCGAAATACACTGCTGAGGGGAGCAGCGGGCGAGACAGGAGAGGTCTGCGGCTCCATGTGGGTTGCTCCGCAGCGGGTGGGGATCCAAGAGGCACTGCAGAGGCTGCAGACAGCTTCACAGCGCTGCACTCAACCGCCTGAGCCACCAGGGAGGCCCTACAGTGCTGTATATCTTAATGAGTTAAAGACCTTGAAGTAGGAGAAGCTAACCTGGTGTGAGATACTTCCTCCACCTACTTTAATTAAGTTCTCCTCCAGGACGGGAGTAAGCATGTTAGACCTAACGGTAACCACGATGTCCCTGAACTTAAGAAATCATGCCACTTTTGCTTTTGTCTTTCGGTGCAAAAGCTTGCTTTGCAATTCTAATTGTAACTCCTGGGGAAATGATGAAGTCTGTGTACTTAAGATGCTTCTTATGCTTCTATTATGCCCAACATGTAGTCCAATAAATTCACGGTCCCAGTTAAAAGGAATATGATGATGAGTAATAAATAACCCATCCAAAATTTCCTTGACATTTTCAAATGTCACTTCTCCATTTCTACTCTTGTCAAACAGTTGAAAAGCCACTGTAAACATGAAATATTGAGCACATAATTCAAATGCCAAACTCTTAATAGGAGCTCAACCCATCCTTGGTTTGATTGGCCACTCCTGCCAAGAGCCATACAATGTTCTGATTGCTATTTGGATCATTATACAGTCCAAGATAGTGTTAGAAAAGTCTCCTGGGGTCCTGTGGTGTGCGCCATCTACTTTAGTACTGGTATACTGCAGGAATATGTTTCTTAACACATGAGGATTGCCTTTCTTGGCTGACTGCACCTTGACTCCCATGATGTGTTTGGAAGCCAAGGAAGAGCAAGAGCAGTCATTGTTTTAGCAGTCATCGTAAAGACAATAAACTTGGAAAGTCTCTTCAAAAATGTATTTTTAAAGTATTTTTATGGGTTGACTGACTTTAGAGAACTGTCATGTCCAATGTTATTTTACAAAGTAATTATTAAAAAATAATGGATTTCCAGGTATCTCTTCATATTATGCTAAAAATCCATTCTAAGCAATGTCTTCTATTTTATATGTTTTGGGTATTAATCTTTATCTTGTTTATGATTTGGTAGTCTCAATTTTGAGTTTTTAATTCACTTTCTAAATACTGTGTTTTGATTCACAATTGTTTTAAAATTTTGGTGAAGTTTAGTATATCTATTATTTTGTTGCCTGTGTTTTTGGTGTCATATCCATGAAATCATTGCCATGTCCAATGTCATGAAGATTCTCCCTTATGTTTTGTTCTGAGAATGTCATTATTAACTCTTACATTTAGTTCTCTGATACCTTTTGTTTAAATAATTTGGTTTTGCATTTTTTTTTAAAGATTTATTTATTTATTTATACAAGCACTGGATACAGTCAGAAGCGTGGGAGGGTGAGAGAATTCACCAGAGCCAGAGCGGGGAATAGAACAGGCAGACGGACGAAATACACTGCTGAGGGGAGCAGCGGGCGCGGCAGGAGAGGTCTGCGCGCCATGTGGGACCCTCGCTGGTGGCCCGGGATCGAACCGGCACTGCAGCAGCTGCGCTCAGCTTGCAGCCCAGCTCTCAACTTCTGCGCCACCAGTGGAGGCCCTGGTTTTACATATTGTGTGAAGTTACATCCCAAGTCCTTCTTTTGCAGATACCCAGTTTTCCTTCTTTTGCAGATAGATAACCAGTTTTCCCAGCATCACTTATTAACAAGATTTTCCTTTCTCTATTAAGTGGTCTTGACAAGGTTTCAGAAATCATTTGACGAAATAGGCACAAGTTCTGGAATCTCTATTCTATTCCATGCATTTATATGACTTCCTTATGCCAGTACCTCACTGTTTGATTTATAGAAAGTTTCAAAGTATGGAAGTAGAATCCTCCAACTTTGTTCTTTTTTAAAGGAAAAAAGAACTTTTTCTCTTATTTATATTTGTTCTTCTATTTCTGCAACAACAAAAAAGGCATTGTCATTTTGATAGGGATGGCATTGAACCTGTATGGCACTTTGGGTAGTATTGACCTCAGCAGCCTTTTTGATTCATGAAAACAGTTTATGTTTCCATTTATATATGCCTTTTAAAATCATTTTGTAAATGTTTTATAAGTTTCTTCATGCTTTACTCTGTTTCTTTGCATTTTATTCTTTTGTAGTTTTGTAAATGGTATTGTTTTCTTCATTTCATTTATGAATACTTGATATTAATATATATAAAACACTCAATTTTTTAAGTGTTGTGTTTGTATCCTGCCACTTTACTGAAATTGTTTATTAGCCCTAAGAGGTTTTTTGTACATTCCTTAGATTTTCTATACATAAGATCATGTCTCCATCCATAGAATATTTCATATATTCTGTTCTAATTTGCATGCCACTTTTCCCCTTTATTTCTTTAATTGCTTTGGCTACTCTCTTGGATGGAAAGGGTGAAAATGGGCATCTTTGCCTTGTACGTATTCTTAGGGGATAAGCTTTTAGTTCTTCACCATTGAGAATGAGGTTAAGTGTGGGTTTTTCATAGGCAATTGATCACATTAAAGAATTCTATCCTATTTCATTGGTTTTTTTAAATCATGAAATTGTGTCAGACTTTATCAAATTCTTTTATTATATGGTTTGCCCCATTATTCCATTGATGCGATGTATTCACGTTAATAGATTTTGTGTCTTTGCATTCTAGGGATGTCTCATTTAGTCAAGGTTTATCATCCTTTTAAAATTCTACCAGGGCCTCCCCGGTGGCGCAGCGGTTGAGCGCTGGGTTGCGAAGCTAACCGGCCTCTGCAGCGCCGGTTCGATCCCCGGCTGCTCCCCGGCCACTGGAGGAGGGTCCCACATGGCGCGCAGACCTCTCCTGCCGCCCGCTGCTCCCCTCAGCAGTGTACTTCAGTCCTTCTGCCTGCTCTGCTCCCCGCTCTGGCTCTGGTGAATTCTCTCACCCTCCCGCGCTTCTGACTGTACCCAGTGCATGTATAAACAAAACAAACAAACAAACAAATAAATAAATAACATGCCTCTATAAAAAAAAAAAAATAAAAAAAAATAAAATTCTACCAAATTCAATTTGCTAGTTTTTTGTTGGGAACTTTGGCATCAACAGTCATGTGGGATATTGGTCTTAATTCCTCTCATTTTTGGCTTTGGCATCAGAATATTATCAACCCATTGAGAAGGAGTTAGTGTTTTACCTTTATGGTTTTTTAGATGAATTTGACAAGGATTTGTTTTAATTCTCCTAGTATTTGATAAAATTCACACATAAAATCATCTTGTCTGTGCTTTCTTTGTTTCCAGGTTTTTGATTACTGATTTAATCTCCTTACCAGGAATAGAATTATTTAGATTTTCTATTTATTCATAATTCATTCTTGGTAGGTAGTTTCTTTTTAGGAAGTAATCCATATGATCTATTTTTTTTTAAGATTTATTTATTTATGCATATAAGAACTGAAGTACAGGCCAAACGTGTGTGGAGGCGGGTGGTGGTGAGAGGATTCACCAGAGACAGAGTGGGGAACAGAATAGGCAAATTGACTGAAATACACTGCTGAGGGGAGCAGCGGGCAAGACAGGAGAGGTCTGCTGAGCCATGTGGGTAGCTCCCTGGCCAGCTGGCCGGGGATCGAACTGATGCTGCAGAGGCTGCAGATAGCTTCACAGTGCTGTGCGTATCCCCTTGTGCCACCTGGGAGACCCATGTCTATCTATTTTGTGTACACACAATAGTTAATATTGTTCTAATAATCTTTTACTTTTTCAGTCAGTAGCGTTGTCCCCAGTTTCATTTCTGAATTTGGTTAAGTGGGAACTTCTCTCCCTCCATTAATCATCCAGCTAAATGTTTATCAAGTTTGTTCATCTATTTTTTTTTAAATTTATTTATTTTTATACAAGAGCTGGGGTATAGGCCAAAGGTGCGAGAGGACGAGAGGATTCACCAGAGACAGAGCAGGGAGCAGAACAGACAGACGACAGAAATATACTGCTGAGGGGAGCAGTGGGCACGACAGTGGGGAGTCTACCACACCATGTGGGATTCTCACTGGCCGGCCAGGATTGAACCTGCACTGCCGAGGCTATAGACAGCTTCGCAGTGCTGCGCTCAATCCGCTGCGCCACCGGGGAGGCCCAAGTTTGTTCATCTATTTAACAAAAGTGAAAATCTCCAAATTTATGATATAGTTGTCTCTCTTTTGAATTCTGTCACTGTTTTCTTCATGTGTTTCAGAGCTCTGGAAAATGCTACATATTTGTGTATAGCTGTTATATCTTATGAATTAATAAGTCCTCTTCTTAATATATAATGTCTCTTTTGTCACAGCAGGTTTTGACTAACGTCTGTTTTATCAGATATGAATATAGAATCTCAGTCTTTTCAGTCTGCTGTTAAAAAAATTATAGATTGTGTGACATATGAAAAAAACAAACATTTCTTTCTCACAGTTCCAGAGGTTAGAAGTATGAATCAGGATGCTAGCTAGCATGGTCTGATTCTGGTGATTGGTCTTTTCTGGATTTTTGACTGTGAACTCTTCATTGTATTTATACATAATGGAAAAGATTAAGGAGCTCTGTGGTGTCTCATTTATAACAAAATTAATTCCATTCATGAGGGCTACACATCTCCTATGTAAGTCACCACACAACAC